ACCCTGCTCCTGGGCACAGCGCCACACCCTGGCGTGCCCAGTGTGCACGTGCTCAGCTCGCACTCCTCCAGTAGAACCTTCTGTTTAGGGGCAGGTGTCAGCCTCCCCATTTCTGCTGCCCCAACGTGGAGGCTGGCTTCCTCATCTTCACTGTAGGTACTTGAGAGCCACACTTTCCTGCCATTTTGGAGACTCAGCTGGGACTGAGTTTCCTCTTTCCAGGGATGGATGGGGGGCCTGGCTTTGAAAAGGCTTGGGTGAGCCTGTGTTTTCTACCGGGTCATTATTCTCTAGCCTGAGCCTGCACTGTGTGTGGGACCCACAGTGAGGGTACCAGACAAGATTACAAAGCAGTGAAGAAAAGATACTCTGTCCTCCCGCCGTGGCACATGTAGCTTTATTCATCCAGAAGGCCAGGTGGGAATCTAGAATTCTCAGACTCCTGGAAGTTTTGTGAACTCTGCAGCCTGGGGAAAAACATCCCCCTTTCCCCACCTCCCTCTTTCCCATCCACAGCTCCAGCCTAGACACCCAAGGTCTGTCTACACCCCTCCCAACAGTTTCCCCTTGGCCACCCCATGGGTCCAGGGTGCACACACCAGGAGGAGAGCATTCCCAGGAGAGAAGCTCAAGCTACTCGGGCTGGAGAAGTGGGATGCGGGATCCAGGCGGGCGCTCCCCCATTACCCCGTGGGGAAGGCTGTGGACAGAGGAATGCCAGAGCAGGGCTCTCTAAAGCTTGATAACTGGGGCAGGACCCCTGGTTCCCAGAGCCCTGTCATAGGGATTGAGAGAAAAGCTGAAAGAATATTCTGAGACAGGATTCCTGAGAAATACAACCCGTTCTGTAATATGTCGAGGCCAGCTGTGCCTGCGAACTTAACGATTGTGCCCAGTCTCACCAGCCATATTTCAAAAAGGATAATGGCATTGTGCATTTGGTTCATCTTACTTTCCCCTATTATTTGTATCAACACGTCATCATGATAGCATCCTAGACACGAGCATTTCTTTGAGTTTTAGGGTATCCCTCGTGTTGCAAAATCCCGTCTGCCTTTCAGAAACGGCTGCAGGGGTTTGGCTGTTGTACATAATTTATCCACCAGCTCATCGAAGGGGAGGCATATGTGTTTCATGCTGGCCTATAATTTTTTTTCTCCCGAACTACCACTTTTTTTTGTTTTGTTTTTTGCTTCAATCAGGTCATTTTTTCTATGCATCCCTCTCACCTCCCTCCCCAACCTCAAAGCTAACGAGTATGTTACCTAAAAATCTATTGTTCTTCCTCTATTGTCAGGCTGATCTTTTTGTCGCACAGGGTGGACAGGCTGAACCAAGGAGGGCTTGACTATACTCAGACAGGTGGGAGCCTCTGCAGCCCCTACGGAAATAAATGGCACTGGGACACTTAAGAGCAGTTACAACAATTGAAACGTGGAATCAAGAAGATGATTCCCTCCCGAGTCTCTTAAGGAAGAGCGCGCCCCAGTGCGACCCGTGTTCTGTGGGCGCTGGTCTGGCTGCAGCATCCTTTCTTTTCTCATTAGGCAGGCAGCTCCCTGAATCAGCAACAAAGGGAGAGGAAAGTACATACCACAACTGCTTTCATTTTGAGGGTTATTTTCCTATTTAAAAGTTGAGGCAGGAGGAGGGAGAGGAGAGTGAAGTGTCACCCCTGTGATACTGCTCCCCTGGGGTTGTCAGTGGGCCCCAGACCTGGGCCCCAAGAGCTGTGAGCCACATTTCTGCCCTTCCTTCCTCTTTCAGGACTCGGTAGAAATCAGAGCAGAGGGAGGTGGGGGAGAAACCCGCCTTGGGCACGAGAGCATCTGTCACCCTGGCTCTGAGGCGAGGGGAAACAACCAGGGAATTGGTGAGCCCTGCTTGTCTGACCTGCAGTTGTCAAGGTTGGCTTTTATCGTTTGTGTCAAAGGAGTGAGAGGTGATCGATTCATGAAACGCAGCGGGCCGGTTAAGGGGAAGCTCCACCCGTGGGGTCCTGTGTTCCCACAAGTGCACTCCAGTCCAGTTTCAAAAACTGGGTCATGACTTGAGGCCTGTTGGGCAGGACGGGCATAGAACAAGCAGGCTGAGACCCAGGCTGTCTTCTGGAGCCCGGAGCTTCCCTCCTGAGATACGGCAGCAAGTGTACCTAAAAACCAAAGCAAGACTCAAAAAGAACCCAGCGTGTAACATGTCACGCCAGTGCATCAAACGGGAATAAATCAGTGTGATGGGGAAAAATTAGACAAAACTCCTTAGAGGTGCAGAGAATTGGGTGCCGCGCCCCCCGGCACTGGGCACTGACATCCAGCCTCTGCATTAGTCCTCACACCGACGCCAGGAGGCCGGCACCCTCTCCACATGTGGCTGGTGAGGAAATTGAGGCTCAGTCAGTGTGTGACTCATCTGTTGTCTGAGGAGGCTGGTGGCGGCAGCACCGTTGAGGATGTGAGTCAGGTCCATCTGACTCCAGGCCTGTGCAGCTGACCCCTCCATCCACTGGGCCTGGCAGAAGGTGTTCTCTGAGCAGATTGGGAGTAGAGAGGGAGAGGGTCACGTGGGCCGAGGGCCAAGCTGTGGTTTGAAGATGGTGAGGAACCGTTGGAGAGGACGTCTTGCCCAGGGCAGAGGGGCTAAGATGGTGGAGGAGACGATAAGATGGTGGAGGAGACGAGAAGCCAGAGGGCAGTGCCAGGCTTCCTATGGTGGCAGGAGAGGAGGGCTGGGCCTCAGGGTTGGGGAGCAAGTTAGAAGCGCTCTGCAGGCATCAGAGCGGCAGCTGTGCCAAGGGGAAGGGGTGCCTTTGAGGGGCAAGGAGAGTCCGCAGGCCTGGCAACAGGAGGGAAAATCAAGACCCTCCTGGGCCTGGAGGCTGGTGGATGACAGTCCCTCCCACTGAAATGGGAAAAGTCAGGAAAGGGATGCCTGGGCGTGGAGCTCAACTGGTTTCGCTTAGATGTATCAATACAGAATTTCAGGGAGCAGCTGCTCTCCTGGGTGCCACGTCTCGTGAACAAGTAAAGGTGTCACAGTGGAGTCCAGCGCACGGGCAGCTGGATGCATGGACGCGGGGCCACCCCAGGGCGGGGAGAGGGGAGGGTGAGAATCTAGCGGCCCTCCGAGGAGCCCGGGAGAAAGTGTCTAGATGTCCGCGGCCTGTGCAGAGGAAGATGCCACGTCACAGCAGAAACCTCTACCAAATAAAATAGCCACCTTCTAAAAGATTATCTAAAGAACACCGAGTGCGGATTCTTTTTTTGGCGGTGGGGGGAGGTTATTTTTTATTTTTTACAGTAGCTCCTTGTTGGTTATTTATTTTAAATCTAGCAGTGTGTACATGTCAATCCCGAACTCCCAATCTATCCTTCCCCTACCACCTTTCCCCCGGTAACCGTGACTTCATTCTCTTAAGTCTGTGAGTCTACTTCTGTTTTGTAAATAAGTTCATTTGTATCATTTTTTTTAAGATTCTGCATATAAGCGATATCATATGCTATTTCTCTTTCTGTGTCTGACTTACTTCACTTAGTATGATAATCTCCAGGTCCATGCATGTTGCTGCAAATGGCATTATTTCATTCTTTTTATGGCTGAGTAATATTCCATTGTGGAAGATGGGCTGGACCCAGGGGATGGCCAGTGGCTTTGAGTCGTTGGATGGGTGGTTGAGCTATGCTGCACTCAAAGGCAGGAGGTGAGACTGCCCAGCAGACAGCAGTGAAGGGTGACGACAGGTAAAGAGTGAATGCAACTTTGAGTCTGGAAATAAGAGGCTCATCTACACGGGGTCACTCAGTTAAAGAATTAATGCCTGTCGAAAGAAGCGGATTTAAATCTGAGGGTGGCAGGGAATCATGGGAGCATTTTCGAGAATGAAACAATACAGTCAAAGCAGCACGCATGGGACGCAGTTGTGGTTTTGTGCTTATTTACACTGAAAAGGGTGCTCTCGCGAATGGGCCTTGAGTGAGAGCTGGGCCACCAGCATAGAGAAGGGGAGTATAATTTGTGTAAATTGTCTCAGTTAATATTACTAGAGCTTTCATGGCCAATAAAAGTGGATCATTAATCTCTTTGCAGACCTTCTTGGTTTCTCTCCACCGTCCTGTTGGAGAAAGATGGTGGGGGAAATGCGACTTGAAATATTTGGGGGACTTGTTGGGTTAGCTTGAGTCGACACTGGGCCCTCGTCATTCACACCCAGAGAAGACTTAACACCGTGGGAATCACGATGGAGACTTGAGAGAGAAAATGTAGCACCGCCAGATTTACAAAGGCAGGTGGAGTCCTCTAGACGGTGGTCACAGGAAATGAACAGTGTGGTCATGGGGGACAGGCTGTATGGTGGCTGAACCCAGGACCTCCCGGCGGTGTATTTTTTATTTTTAAAATTTTATTAATTAATTTTTTTTATTGGAGTATAGATGATTTACAATGTTGTGCTAGTTTCAGGTGTACAGCAAAGTGAATCAGTTATCCATATACATATATCCACTCTTTTTTAGATTCTCTTCCCATATAGGTCATTACAGAGTGTTGAGAAGAGTTCCCTGTGCTATACCGTAGGTTCTTATTAGTTATCTGTTTTATATACAGCAGTGTGTATATGTCCATCCCAATCTCCCAATGTATCCCTCCCCCTTCCCCTCCCCGCCCCCAGCCCCCGGTAACCATAACTTTGTTTTCTGTAATACATCTGGGACTGTATTTCTGACTATATGTGACTAGAAATAAGCTCGTTTGTACCATTTTAGGATGGAGCTTTGCTGATGGTCACGGCCGTTTACTCTGATGTAATCATCCCGGCTGACAAGGGTGAAGTGACTACGCTGGCCCTGCTCCCACCTCCCCGGGGCGGGCTCTGTCCACCTTGAACCTATCACCAAGGAAAGACTGTAGCATGCCACCTCTATCTGTTATCACCACGATGTCCTCCTCCAAACAGGGTCCAAAGGGTCCAAAGGGATGCCATTCACTTTCTCTTTCTTCCTTTCCAGTGACTTTAGAGCAGTTCTCCCTGCCCGGGAGGAGCTGTCCTGAAAAGAGGACCAGGCTTTGTTAAAAAAGGTACGTTGTGCTATGCGGCTGCTTCCCACTAGCTATCTACCTTACGTTTGGTAGTGTATATATGTCCATGCCTCTCTCTCGCTTTGTCAGGGAGATCAGCTCGGTGCTTTGTGACCGCCTGGAGGGGTGGGATAGGGAGGGTGGCAGGGAGGGAGATGCAAGAGGGAGGAGATATGGGAACATATGTATATGTATAACTGATTCACTTTGTTATAAAGCATAAACTAACACACCATTGTGAAGCAATTATACTCCAATAAAGATGTAAAATAAATAAATATTAACTTCAGATTAAAAAAAAAAAAAACGTACGTTATCACACAAAGCGCTGATTGCCTTAAAGGCTCACAGCATTTTTATTGCCCTGAGGAGGGATTCACTTTTACGAGCCAGAGTAAATTTATCATCCCTGAATTTTGTGCTCCTTGGGGATAAACTTGCCATCGGTGGGTAGGAGGGCTGCTGGTTAATGAGCACAGCCGCCGTCCTCGGAGTGCAGCAAAGTGACAGGAAAGTGGGTGTCAACCACTAGCGGGGAATCTGTTCAATTCTCCAAAGGGCTCAGTTGGTTCTATTTAAGCTTATCTGACAGAGCCTTGATTCTCTGAGCAGATTTATGAGACTTGGCCAAATTCTCTGACTCTCACCATACTTTTTAATTAAGACAAAGGATCCCATACGTTCTGTGTCTGCCACATCTTTCGTCGCCGTGGGGAGAGCCTCACAAATGAGTCTGTTCCTGTGAGCCACTGGAAGGGGCATCTTATGTCATAGCTTCCTCACCCTTGAGTGGGAGACAGACTTCTTTTATTCTTGGTGACCATCGTTTTCTTTCCTTCCAAATGACGAAGGAGCACAGGTGCGGGCTAACCTACATTGCAGTTGTACATCTAGGTGAGCCCAAAGTGTGGAAAAGCCTGTCCAGCAGCCTGCCTGCATTTAATTAAAACTTAGTCTTTGAAGGCAGAAAGCAGTAGGTACCAGCAGATCATAAAAGTGCAGACACGCTTTTCCACCAATGGGTGAGACTCATGTTTTCACCTAGAAACTGTCCTCAGACTGACCTAGAGGCATCTGCATTTCCGTGACGTCATTTCAGTTCTGTACTGTCAGGAAACCGCGTGTACCAGGAATTGCATTTCTTTACCTAAATACCATACCAGGTGTTCTCTGACTTTAGAAATGGGTGGAAAATATAGGGCGTCACTAGAAGGGATTTTCAACTCATTTGCCTAAGATGTGATATTTTCAGTCTGTCTTTTTTTAAAGCTTTCAGTGATGTTGATTTTATAATACAGAAGTGCTGATACCAAACATGGGGTTTGCCCGGGAAACGTGGTCCACCAGGGTCCCGGCTCTTCCAATACACTGACTTTCAGTGGCACCCATTCAGGCACAGAAACTTTACTTGGTACTTTGAGGTTGTCCACCCTAAGCTCTCAGTTCCCCACCTGAGGGCCATTCCCCCAGGACCTTCCCTTCCAGATACAGGCAGTGGCACTGTGATCTCGGAGTAGCTCTTGGCCCCCAGACACTCACCTCTTTACTCCAGTCGCTAGTCAAGGTGATGAGGACGCAGTGCCTTTGGCCGTTTCTTCCTATTCTGTCCAGCGTTTTCTGCTGTCGTCTCCTCCTTCTTGCTTCTCTCCTCCTGTTCGTCTCTCCACCGTGTTCCCTTCTCCATGCCTCTGTGGGCTGAACCAACTCCTATGTGTTGTTGGTCCTGCTGGTGAACCCTGCATGGAAATTACCTGGGCATCTCAGAGGCAGCCTGGGGTAGAGAGGGCAGAGCACAGAGCCTGGTGCCAGGAGAGCAGACCTCCAGGCCCGCTCCTAGCTGTCCCTATGGCCTCCACGACTGCAGATACCACAGCCGCTCTCTTCATATCCATAGGGAGAGGGTAGAAAGAGATGCCACCCAAAGCCTCTTCCTTCTCTTACTTTCTCACCCGCCTGCCATGCACACATTGCCCCCAGGCTGGCTTCTTGGGAACATTTGGTTAGAAACCAACAGTTGAATGCTCTATAATGACCTATATGGAAAAAGAATCTAAAAAAGACTGGATATGTGTATAGGTATAACTGATTCACTTTGTTGTACCCCTGAAACTAATACAACATTATAATTCAACTATACTCCAATAAATATAAATTTAAAAAAAGAAGAGGCTACCCTGGTGGCACAGTGGTTAAGAATCTGCCTGCCAATGCAGGGGACATGGGTTTGAGCCCTGGGCCGGGAAGATCCCACATGCCACGGAGCAACTAAGTCCGTGTGCCACAACTACTGAGCCTGCGCTCTACAGCCCGTGAGCCACAACTACTGAGTCCACGTGCCACAACTACTGAAACCCGCACACCTAGAGCCCATGCTCTGCAACAAGAGAAGCCACTCTAATGAGAAGCCCATGCACTGCAGCAAAGAGTAGCCCCTGCTCACCGCAACTAGAGAAAGCCCACGTGCAGCAATGAAGACCCAATGCACCCAAAAATAAATTAAAATAAAGAAGAAGAAGAAGAAGAAACTAACAGTTGGGAGTGGGAGAGGGTTCAGATAGCCCATGGTGTCCTGGAATGATGTCCAGTGACATTCAGTATTTTACATCTTCCCTGTTGGTCTCTGCAGACTGTGTGACTATTGCAACCGAGGGTGATGTCTGTGGGTGTTTTCTCAATATCTGCAGATATTTGAACTGGCATCATCAAAGAAGTTTCACTGAACAAAAACGTGTGCTCAGTTCATATATACTGAAACTATTTTATGATTTTTTTCTCAGGAGATTGAGGTTTTTTAATGTCACATATCAGAGAGCATCATGTGGGCGTGACAGTGGTATGCAGGATTTTTGTAGATTGTTCTGTGGAAGAACTTGCTCAGGGTGACAGTAGATCGTTCTGACTACAGTCAGCCTGTGGTCAAGTTTATGTTTACTCGAGTGAGCTATTCACTTCCTAGATTCTCTGCAGCTAACTTAAGTATTTAACTCCACCTTGTTGAGTGAACAGTTGTTGCAGGCAAAAAAAAAAAAAAAAAAAAAAATGCAGATTGGTGTTGAATATGATGTTTTAAAAAACAATATTTTGCATGCATACCATTGCATCCCTATACTGTCCCAGATAATTGAGACTTAAGGACAGATATTTCATGACCTGTGAGCGTGCTCTAGACACAGACTGCAGGGAAGATGCAAAAGACGAGCACACAGCAGTCGAGCCAACGTCCGACACCCCTGGAAAAACAAAGCCAGAGTGTGAGGTTTTGGAGATGGCAGAGGCCAGAGCCTTCATGTGACAACCAGGAAGAGTAGGACAGGGAGAAGATATGGCCCTCTGCCACGGCACTGCTAGTTGTCGGGCAGTAGAACTGTGACCACAAAGCCCCTGGACCCTCAGGCTGGGCTTCTTCCTGGACTCCTCCCAGATGATCAGATTCACAGAAAATCCACCACCTCGGCCAGAGCTGCTCGGGAGGTAAGACTGACGAAGCCTCAGGTGCACTGCTGTGGCTGGCGTGTGGAATCACGCTCGTGGCTTGCTGTGAATCACACCCTATGTGCTGAGACTACCGTAAGGCAGGAGGGAGCTGGCTTCTCTGTGACTCAGTTTCCCCAAATACCAAGCAGAGGTCGAGGCTGTTGATGACTTAGGATTTTCCCACCACTGTGGCCCTGCTAAGGGGAAAGATGCCAAGAGGTAGGACAGCTGTCATTAGGGTTTGCCTCTCAGGGAGATTTCACTATGATTTGAACCACAGAAAAGATTTAGATTCCATAAATGACTTATGACCCCGTTCACTTTCCGTCCCCATACTTACCTATTCCTTCCCTCGTTCTTAGTTCTGCTTGCCAATTCATCTCTTCGGTCCTTGCTGTCACTACCCTGGAGAGCCCGCTTATGCCTCTGCTCTGCCCTCCACTCCACTGTGGCTCTGGATCTCACCTAAGCTCCAGCTCCACGTCCCAGCTCACTCAGCAGGTCTGAACCCCACCTGTCTACGGTCTCTGTCCTCCCTCCTCAGCCTCGGAGCCATGGGACAGTCCATGACTCTGTCCTGGGACTGCCACTCCAGAGCCAGTGCATCTGTGCCCCTGGCAGCATCTTTCAGAGTCACCCCTTTCCTCTGTTCCAGAGCAGAGCACCTGGGCTTGGTCCACTGGCGGCAAGTCTGATCTCCACTCTGCCAGGATCCAGCGTGTGACCTTGGGCAGGTCACTTTGACCTCTTTTAGCCCAGTGTCCTCTTCTGGCAAAAGAGGAAGAGAATTAGATTACTCCGGAGACCCATCCAGCACCTGCACTCTGTGAACCTGTGACTGGACATTGCCAACAAGCCTGCGATTCTAAACGTGCTTGAGAATGAACCAGCCTGGTCTTCCAACTGCTTGTCTCTCTCCTTCGGGCTTAGCCAAATGAACCTTCTCAGAGCCCCATGTCCTACGTGTCTCTCCCTGGATAAGTTTCCAGCCCTAAGTCTCTCTATCCTTTGAAATAGGGAGATGACAGAAGTCCAGAAACCTGGACTTCTTGGCTTTTTGAGAGTGAAAGGGGCACCATTAAAAATTAAGCTTGCGTGACAGGCATAAACCATGACCGTCCCAGGCAAACGCAGGCATCTGGTTAGCCTAGTTTTGAGTCAAGGCCAAAATCCCTTCCTCAGTCAAATGGCTCTACCTTGCCTCTCAAACTTGGTGTTCGGTCCGGCTGTTCCCTGCCTGCCTCCCAGGATTGTCTCCTCTTAAAAATTGTGCCCTCTTTTCAGTGATAGAAAGTAGTCATAAGACAGGCCCCTTGGTGCCAATCTGCATTCGGACCATCATTTTCTAAATCAAATAGAGATGATCACAGTTCCTCAGTCTGTCCTCTGGGGAGTTTCTTACACAACTGGCAGCAGTCTTTCCAGTTTGGGTGTGAGACAGCAGCCCAGCAAGGACCCTCACTGGGACAAAAACATCCTGAGGTTGTCACCTGCTGGGTCTCCCTCCCTTCCTTGGAAAAGCAAGT